TGGCTGGATCCTGGCCGTGGGCAAAGGACCGTGGCAGGAGCTGGGTTAATGATTTGCAGAGACGCCAGAGCTGTGGAAATCTAGCCCTGGAGCCCTGGCGCCCTTTGCCCCACGGCCTGGCCCCTGCCTGGCCTTCTACCGCTGCTCTTTGAGCGCCGGCCCACGTGTTCTCCGGTGGCGCTGTGCCCCGGGCCCAGTTAATCATTGTAAAGCCGAGTTTCAACTGGCCAGGGCAGACCTCACTCCTGGGCAGAGTCCAGCACCAAGCCCGATAAGGCCCCGGCCTGCACCTTCACACCTGCCAGCTGGGCGCGTGGGGATGGGGCCCCGGGGCAGAGGTCACCAGAGCAGCCCATGGGGCACCTGAGGGCTCGGTCTGGGGCAACCTTCCCAGCGACACCACTGCACCCCGATGCCAGCCTGGGGCACAGCTACCAGCCCAGGCAGGGACCCGGGGCAGGCCCAGCCCTTCCATCGCACATGGAGAGCTGCCTGTGCCTGCCATGGCTGATGGGGGTCAGCACGTGCGCCCGGGATGACGGGCTGTGCCCTGATGCCACGGCGTGCCCCCGCCCCCGCTGCAGAAACCTGCCAGATGTGACAGCCCAGGACTTCGAGCAGGTCGACCTCTCCCAGTACAAGTGGATCCACTGGGAGGTGAACAAAGCAGCTGGCCCCCCGTGCCCTGGGGGTGACCAAGGCAGGGGGTGGGGGTACCCCGTTGCACCTGGGCATCCCGACCTTTGCCCCCTGGGCCGGCAGGGCAGAAACGCGGCCGAGCAGGTGAAGATGATCCGGCGCGTGGAGGAGCATAACCAGGGCTGTGCCGCGCACCAGCGCATTGCCACGTCCGTGGAGGTGGAGAAGCCGCGGGAGGAGCTCTACCAGCTCCTGGGCTATGGGGACGTGGTAGGTGCAGACGCTTGGGGGCCTGTATGCAAATGACCAGTGCTGTGTTTTGCATGACATAAATATGCACGAATGCAATTGCTGTCCCTGTGGGACGGCCCTTCCCTGGTGCCTCTCATGCCCTGTCTCATCCCTGGCAGGTGTTTGTCAGCAAGGACGTCGCAAAGGTCTTTGGCTTCCAGTCGGCGCCTGAGGCTGTGCAGGGCCTGTCCAGCCGGGTGAGGCCGGGGTAGGTGTGGCCGTGCAGGCTCCATGGCAGGGTCAGGCCCGCGCTGGTCCCCGGGGGCCGGTCTGGGGCGTGGGCAGCTGTGTCACTTCCGTATGCGGCACTTCTGCCACCGAGGTGCCACCGGCGGAGCCGATTTCAGGGGGGGCACTAGTGCTCTCCGTGCCTCCTCACCAGCCAGAGCGCTCGTTGTCAGGGAGGCATGTGCCCCCCTGTACCCCACTATGCATTGCCTATGGTGTGGGGCAGGGTCCTGGGCCCCAGGCCTGCTCCCTGCCCCGAGCTCACACCACCTCGGCCCTGGGCCGCCCCCAGGACCACACTCATCTGTGCCTGGGCAGAGCAGGGCGCGGATGCACTGGGGCCGGCGGGGGAGCTGGTCCACGCCGATGCCGTGCCCCCCGCCCGCATTGTGGACACGCTGGGGGCTGGCGACACCTTCAATGCTGCCGTCATCTTCGCCCTGTCCACAGGTAGGGCCCCACCTGCCCCGGCTGGCTTGCGGGGGTGCCGGGCTCTCGGCCCTACTATGGGGCACAGTGGGGTTAGGAGTCACACCCAGGTGGATGCAGTGGGGCAGGGGTGACACCAGGGGCAGCTGCACCAGCATGGGGCAATGAGGGTAGGGCTGGGGGCACTCCGCATGATGTGGCAATGGCTGCTCCATGGCAGGGCGCGGCCTGCAGGAGGCGCTGGCCTTCGGCTGCGAGGTGGCCGGCAGGAAGTGCGGGGTGCCCGGCTACGACGGCATCGTGTGATGGCAATGGGACCACGGGGGTGGTGCGGGGCCTGCGTGGGGGGCAGCGTTGCCCTGGCCCCGGCCCCGGTCCCCTGGCCTTGTCCCCACAGCCCCGTGCCCTCCGCTCAATAAAGATGCTGAAGCTCCCTGCGGCCACTGCGTCCCTGGCTCCTGCGCCCAGAGGGAGGGCGACCCCCCTCTCACCCCCCCCCCCCTCCCTCCCCCACCAA